AGGTCTAAAAATGACAAAGAAAATATTGTAACAAGGGAGTGTGTATCAAATAACAAGTTTAAACAGTGACCCTGCATAACATGTCAAACACAATATCTGATATTTTTTATACATATAACCAGGATGCTGCGGCAAGGGTTTTTTGAGAAAGGGGACCCAAATGCATATTTGAAAAATGAAAGTAACAAGGAAGTTTGGGGGGAAACAAATGACATACACTTCAAATATATCTGACATTTTCTATACATCTACCCTATAACAGTAAATCAACACCATAGTATGATAAAATATTATGGATAATCCGGGTTTGGATCAAACAGGATCCACGTTAACCGAAATTGTTATCCTTGTTATAATATGGCATAAAATGTTGTTTCTTTTTTTTATAAGCTTTAATACTTTAACCCTGCATTTCAATCTTTTAGGACTCCTATTCCACTTAGCGACATTTTAACACCGCTGATAGACCCCTGCTAGTTATTATAAAATACAGGGAAAGAGTCAATACTGTGTACAATGAAGGAAATTTTACCACAGAGAGTTTTTTGAGGAACAATTTTGATATTAATGGTTAAGTGCCTGTTTGGATGGAACAATGCTAACAGTTTAAATGCTAGTTCTTATAGAATTGATATATCTTGCAGTCACTGCAGTGTGCAATGAGCGAAATTTAACAAGGGAAGTGCTATTCTGGCAAAGTAGATGAGTATATAACAGCATGCCAACAGTTTATGTACAGACTGAAAGGGAGTAAGGTGATCTGATGTATATACCAATATTGATGCTAATAGTTAAATAAGTATTCATATATCTGTAATGCCTGTTGTCACTGCAGTGGTCAATGAGGAAAATTTAGCGAGGAGAGTGTATATAACAGCATGCCAAGAGTTTTGTACAGACTGAGAGGATGTAAGGTGATCTTATGTATATAAGAATATTGATGCTAATAGTTTAAGTAAGAATTGATATATCTGTAATACCTGTTCAGTCAACACGACCAACTGACTGAAAGATGTATTTATAGAATGATAGAATCAACTGTATAAATAAAATATCTTCTTACTGCATAATATATCAACTATTGAAACACAACTACACAAGATGTGATCTGCAAATTTATTGGCAGAGGTAATTGCTTCTAGGGTATAACAGTAAAAAATGTAACCTACAAGTAGTTGGGCCAAAGGATACAGAAAGGGGGGTGGGGTGGGGTTTTGGTATTATGATTTAAATATCTCCTCACTGGGGAGGGGGGCAATAGTGGTTTAAGTTTATGAGCACAATGACATGACTATCAAACCAAAAATGTGTCTTGTATAATGTTGATGTTTATTAGCAAGCCAACTGGTCTGTGGTAAAAAAAAACAGGATAATATAACAAGGGCATTATGTTACATATTTCACAATTAAAGATAAAGGCAGGCAATGTTATAAAATGTAATGACAAGATGAATGACCATGTTTAAGGTCAATATGAAGTAGGGATTAAGCAATAACTTATTCCATGTTTAATAATGTGATTAGATACATAATGGAGGAACATGACTGTGTTACATAATGAATGATGACAATAATAGAGAGTTCAATACACTGTCAACTGTGGTACATAGGCCTATTACTCATATTTTCCTGTAATTCAGGATATTCATAAACAAACTAAGTGATATTGTGTGCTATAATACTTTGCAAATGTGTAATATGTTTCATATTGCCCCCTAATATCAAGATAATATATAAACAAAACTAGAGAATATTGTATAATGCCCTGCATTAAGTGTGATAGTGGCCTTACAATAATAAGCACACAAGAGATTGGGTATCTGGGTACAAATTTTGCTTGTTTAAATTAAGGTGATTTGTCTGTGGGTCACCAAGGTTGACCCCCCCCCCCCCTCCCCCCACTTCCGTTGTCTTCCATTTCTTTTGTTTATTCTGCATTACATTGCTTAACTCCAGAAATACAATGATTTACTAAAAAATATCTTGTATTATATCACGGCTGTGTGCAATCAAGAATTCTCACTGATGTCACAATTTCACCCAGAAAGCGACCCCTCCTCCTCTCTTTAAAAAGTAGCCAATTCCATGAAATATTGAAATGTCACTGAGCTTACCTTTACAAAGATTAATCCTATATTGTTCGGTATTCATTTTCATTTCAATATAATTTTACAATCAACACTCTAGAGTTCAATTCTTAGCACATTTCTCGAAACTTTTCTCACCCCTCGTCGCTAATCCTGACTAATATTATAAACTGTCATCTGATACGGCACCTTGTTTTTTTACAACAAGATGGTGAGGACAGTTTGCTCTTGAATAAAAAATGATTATATGTCAGTAATAATATTTATTGATTTTTATTAATCACATCACTCGCGTCTTCATCAACAGTTCGAAATAAAATCCCAATTAAAATCCGATGACATCAGCATCTAATTGGTCCAATTTCAGTGTCCTTGAATTGCACCAAAAGGTGCAGTATTATGCCACACAAAACATATCGCACCTTGGCTGACGCATGGTGAACAAAATATAGACGAGTCTATTATTGATTGTAGGGGTGACAGCTAGGTCAATATTGGATATACCTCAATGTTATATATATAGTATTATCTCTGTCTAACCTTTATCAAATTTCTCTGAGTTTATTTAAGTATTTTGTTGGACAGGTATCAATTGATGAATGATATTTATAAATTATCTTCTCGTTATTCACCTGTATTTTATCTTCTCAGGTGTGTTAATTAGATCACTCATGCGCACTTCTATTTACGCCACGCGCGTCGCGTGCTGACAAGATCAGGTACAAATGACAACCAGATTATCCTCACAACGACACCCCTTTCTGCTGTGGCGGAGTCAAGGGGAGGGGGGGGGGGGGGTGAGAAGGGGCAGCTTCCCTCCCCCCCTCCTTGCAGCCCCTAAAGCAAGTTTTCAGATATCTGTAGGTCATGCGATTCCATAGCGATAGTTCAGCATTTACGGTTAAGCATTACGGAAATTTGGGAATATGCAAATACAGGACAAAATTGTCAGTAAAAGTTTAGAGAACCTCCACAGTCCTTTTAAATCAATGACACCGCTGATGATTTAGTGCCCACATCCCCCACAAAAATATTCTACTTCCACAGCCAGTGTTTGCGTCAGTTCTTAGTCTGACTTTCTGTTCTTATTATCAGAAAAAAACAGTATTAAGTCAAAGAAATAAATAAAAACGGGGAAAATTCTGATGCTTTGTCGGTGCCAGTTTGGATAACTCAAACTACCCCGCCAAGTGCCAAGACAGCCAAAGGTTTTATCTTATTTTCCATTTTTTTTACCAGGTGCGTGTCCAAAAAGCTCAAGTGCGACTAATGATTATACGATTCAAAAGGTATTTAATTAATAATTCCAGTAATTTCCACATCTTATGTAGAAGCAGATTATGGCATTATTGCACATTCAACATTGATCCGTCCGACACGCAACATCTCTATTGATGCGTCCGGCTGGAAACATATTGATAAAATCGACACGCGACACACCAACAAAAATACAGCCAAAACGCAACGCAGATTACAACTGCAGTTGTAAAACAAATCCAGCTCAGAAAATGGAAACAATAAATCAGGGATGTAAACTTTTTATTTTCAGAAACTGTTTGATGGGATTTCAAATTTCCCTAGACAAATAAGTAACATGAAATAAAGGACGTTGAACTTTCATTTCATTTCCAGAAACTCTTGGATAGGATTTTATGACCCTTAACCCTTACAAATTTCCCTAGACTATTAAGGCACTTAAAATGGCATGTATTATTTCCTTTTTAGTTTCTTAAACTCGTGGAATGGATTGGATTCTATCCTTTACACCTGTCAAAGAAACGAGATAAAAAGAAACAATTGCTGTAAATGAGAGAAAGTTATAGAGAATGGAACTCACCTGGAAGACACCTGTAGATAATCAGCTACTCTTTAATCACAAGTAGTTGTATATATATACAGTAATATAATATCTCTATAACGGGCACCTGTTTCATAGTGTTTCTATATCATCATCCCCTAGTTAAAGTTTATAATCACAAGGAGAAAACTTCCAGAGTAAATAGGGTGGTGAGGGTTTCTCGATCTGGGCCCATGCCCACCAAAACCGTAATCTACATTTATACAGTTATAACGGGCACCTGTTTCCCAGTGTCTCTACGTCATCATCTCCTGGTTAAAGTTCAATTGTTTTGAATCACAGGGAGAAACTATCTATCACTGGGCTTGTGGGAAGGGTAATATAGGCTTAGGCGTAAATCCACTCAAAGCGTAATTCATTAGTCAAAAGTGTGTTAAAATCAATGAGGTAGTCATTAAGTCCAATAACCTGGATCGTTCATGATGGAAATGGGGCTTGAACAACATAGCAACTTTTATGATGGGAAGATGTTGTTTCTTCTCAAATTGTCAATTTTGATTTCATCATCACGACTTGTCATATGATCCACGACAACATTCCACACCCTGTCAGACCAGTTTAGTGATGAAATGAGACTTGGTCAGTAAATGAGAGGTGAGTCGATATTTCACACTCATTTGTCATAGGGCTTCACATGGGCTAAAGTGACGTTTGAACCAACCATTAAGTGGAGGGGCCAAATAGGGTTCACAGTTTTGTGAAGGGGTCTGGGTGGTGGGAGGGGGCCCCAGCACCAGGCATGTAAGAAACTGGACGGAGACAATGCCTTGCCAGTCTCATTTTGAGGTAGTGTAGAAATGTCATTGACGGACTGCCCCCCACCTTTCTATGCGTGTGGCTTTGACACCCCCAATTCAAGAGCAAAAATCGGGATGCAAATAGGGGGGTAAAAAAGTAGGCCTTAGTCTGAAGGTCCAGAAAGAACAATATAGGTCTATGTTGATCTTAGGTCCCGACTGAATAGATCACAGTTTGAGAATAGACTAGACCAGTCTCATTACTGCACCCCTTAAAGTAATTACACCAGATTGCCCCTTATTTGAATAACTAATTAGTGAAAAAAATAAACCAAATTTATTCAACCTCATAAACAAAACAAATTATAAACAAACTGAGAGATAACAAAATAATATAACAAAATAATGAAACAATAAAATATGAACTTTAGAAGTCTGTATTTTTACTAGTCTACTTTAAATTAGATCAAATTTTCATTTTGTATTTCTATTAGCTTTTATTTTTATATAGCCACTTCTGTAAGGGTCTAAAGACGGCCCTCTTAAACATTCCTCACAATAACCTTTTGACCTAACCTGAATGAAAGTTTGATCTAAATTTTATTAGACTGTATTTTTAACAATTTAATATTATTTATTTGTGTGATTTGATAAAAGCAGGGTTCAATTTAAGCGATATCGCATCGCAGTTAGCGAGTCAAAATTTGGTGTTGGGTCATAAATTGCTGACCAAATTCTTCAATCTAAATTGAACCCTGGATTTAATATCATCTATTTTGGTAATTTTAAACCCGAATTTTAAAATATTAGTAAAAATATATATTAATACATTTTTTTTACATGATTTAATCTTATCTATTTTAAGTAATTTTGAGGTTTTAGTACAAACATATATATATATAAAATATTTTTACATGATTTAATCTCATTTATTTTAGGTAATTTTAAGACATTAGTAATAACATATATATATAAAATAGAAATGTAAAATTTGTAAAACATACAGAAGTATAAAAATGACATTATCACATATTGTAAATATTTTACTGGTAATTCTCCATGGTAAATTGGGACCCCATTCCTTTAACTCTCTGAAACAATTACATTATGTGTTTTTAACAATTTTTTTGTATTTTTTGTGAGCATTGTATTATTTCAGTCTTTTCAGAATTGTAGTAATTTCTCTTTACATGCAGCACAGAACATTTAATCTTTATTACCCAAATTGATAATTGATGTAAAAGAAGTATGTTCTCTTCTGGTAACCTTGGCCAGTGCTTCTATAGGAGAGTATCATCTATAACACCTAATACTTGTGACCTTGGCCAGTGCTTCTATAGAAGAGTATCTTCTATAACACCCAACACTGTTTTAAAGAGATTCTAAAGACATTTACTAAATTCGCTCTTTGCGATTTGCATCATCATCCAACACTTAGTTTTAGCTGATGTTATCAGTGTCCCCACTACACATGAATAAATTTAGAAAACCTCTTCACAATCCCTTTAATAGAAATAAATTGCTTCTGATTATCATAATTTGAATTTGAGACACGCTTTCAGAAAGCTGACATCTGATTGGTCAATCACTAATATAAATTTTAAATTCAGTAAAAATTAGATTTCAATGTATCTATACGTGTATTTTTTAGTAAACATTTATAAGCATAGTTGAAAGCATTAACATCTATTTGAAGTAATCTAATCTACCTTAATTATGTGAAAAATAGTTAAAATTAAAAATCAATTAAAAAATTCAGCATGGTAGTTTAAGTATCAATTTTGTAGATTTGTAAACTTGAACACCCAGGCCCATTTGGAGGGTAGAGTATTAATAGTTAAAGTTGGTAGCATGATTTCTATTCCACCAGTAGCTCCAGCTTTCCAGTTAATAGGTTGTGGATAACCCACTAAATTGACCAGCGTCTGTCCACTGGGCTTGGGTGCTCCAAGAATCAAGGTGTTGGACGTCGGCCATTTTAAAACGGTTCCATACACAACATCTCCTTCAGTTGTTTTCTGTTTGGTATACCTGGAAAAATAAGATTCTTATTAAAAATTAGTTGCTCTTCTTATGAAAGTAACAAAATAACATTTTTAGCCACGTTTATTCTCTGCAGGGATGTTGAATTGACAAACCTAAATACCAACTAAACATTATTTGCTATGTGGACACTCTGAAAGGGATGCTGAATTGACAAACTTGAGTACCATATTAGGATTTTTAGCTATGTGAACTCTCTGAATGAGTAGTTGATAAAACAAAATTGAAAATTGAAAATAAACCATACTTATCACAAAATTGCTAGCAAGTTAGTTTGTGAAACTGAAACCCTCTTTCTGAGGTTTACTTACCAAACTCTGGGTGTAACAGTATCATTCTGAAATCTCCATGGTTTACTGCTGTAGATAGCCTCACCGTTAACATTCATCCATTGTCCTAGCTGAGTTAGTCGTTCTTGAAATACTGGGATTATAAACCCTGATTTCGTGGGTCCAACGTTGACCAGCAAGTTACCTCCACAGCTATAAATAGATATTACAATTGTTAAGTTTGAGATCTTTTTACTGCACATTATTCTACTACATAGAATCAGAAATTCATTGCAGTGTGCAATAATGTAAAATTTAGCACAACAACATTAAGCTTTGATTGGCTGTATTCGCAATCCACAATGTATCATCCAACCAAAATCCTGAATTAACAAACTTCAAACAAAAGTGGCTATTGAAGTCAAGGTGTTAGACCAAGTTTGTAAAAGCTTGACATTGTGAAGATGTTCGTTGAAATACTTCAGAGCTCTGCCCCATAAATATAATTGAATTGTCTCCCTTACCTGACCGTTTCGATCAAAGTCTCTATGAGTTCCTCAATAGTTAAAATATCAGCTATCTGGATATTACGTCTGTACCCCCAGGCATATTTATCTACCGTCATTGCATTCTCAAATTTCCTCTTCTGTAACGTTCCTAAAATATGAACAAAAATGTACGAATTAAATAAATATTTTATAAGATGCTGGAAAACAAAGTCTACTTTTATAAAGTTTGCTTAGTAAATCGGGATCTAAATTTAAAGAATATTCTTGTTGTAGACTCCTCGCCACTGTAGAGTAATGTCCCCCCTACGCCAAGAGTCCTACATCGGAGGATTAACCACCATTTCCAAAAATTAGCCTTCCTGATGAGGATCTAGCCCATTACTTATCTATGCTATCAGGAAACAGGTTCTAGATGACACTCTTTTATTGGTTAATAATAACATCATTAGAGCAAAACTACAGTTGAAAACTTGTAAGATTACAATAAGCACAAAAAATAAGAGAATAAAAGTCGACTTGGTGTGTTTCTTACCAGGGTTGTATTTATCGGTACATGTTAAATATCCACCATGATGGCACATATCTCCTTTACCCCACCTGTCATTGGTTACCACAGTATCTCGTACAGGGCTGCAGATAAACACATCAAATTATTTAGGGAAAAAACTATCAAAAATATTACGAGTAAAGGTTGTAACAAAAAGTGTGTTAACAATTTAAAGTTCATTAGCTGCTACCAATGTTTCGCCAGTATTTTGTTTTAAATTTCAGGTTACATTTTGTGGTTTGGATCATTGTTACTTGGTTAATACACAACAGACGGTGCCTGGTTTGAATAAACTATTTAGTTGAATTAAACTTTCATTAAACATATATCTATATCAACAGTTTATTCTCTAACATACAATAGGATTCTCATCTTGGTCAAGTCTTTGTAAAATACCGTTCCGATCTCACCTATCATTGTAGAGCCAAGCCAGAAATTCCTTGGACCCCCAGTACGTGTCTGGGGCCTGCCAAGCTCCATCAGACCAAAGTACCTCAGGTTTATATCGGTTTATGATTTCATATAATTCAGGCATAGCTTTCTCCTGCAAAAAAAATACAACACATAGGGAGGTAGTTTTGACAAAACCCACCTCTTATTGTAAAGCCAAGTCAGAAATTCCTTGGACCCCCAGTAAGTGTCCGGGGCCTCCCAATCTCCATCAGACCACACTACTTCAGGTTTATATTTATTGACTATTTCAAATAATTCAGGAATGGCTTTCTCCTGCAATGAAATAAATTGGGAGGGATGTTGTAGCACAGTGGGTTAAAGCATTGAAATGTGTACATGACGTCATGGTAACATAGATAATGGTTATGGGTTCTAATCTCAGTCGATATGAGAAATTCACAAAAAATATTTAAATACTAGGTGATGTTGAACAATACCTTGGTACCCTGTTACGTTTTATTTATCAAAATATTGAGAGCGGGATTCAGCGAGATGTCATCTATTCTCACGGTCAAAATATCGACGAAACATCGTCTATTTAGCGTTAACAATCAGGAAACCCAATGACCTTACTGTAGGGTATGGCTTGAATTTCGACCAATCAATGCCAAGATGACAATAACTCAAACCTGTCCCTTTGATGCAAAGCTTTAGATGGAATGGGGGACCAGTTTAGTTGAACAAGAGCATAATCTGCTTCTGCCAATGAATATTTATGAGTATGAGATTTAATATTTCCCAAGCCTTGGCGAATGTGATATCTACCTTAGCAAATCGAGTAGTTGTAAAATTATTGGCCTTATCTTCTATATAAAGCGGGTGAAACCATTCAAACATTGAATGATACAATCCAAAATGGAGGTTGGTCCCTTCTCTAATAGCTGTGGCCAGTTCACCTGAAAAATATAAATGATTTGATATCAAACCAACCAAGAAACCCCTTACAGAATATTTACACAATCCCTTATCATTTCAGAGCTCTATGACTGGTCAATAAAGTCATATCAGCCATCTACAGCTAGAGCTAGAGTCAAACATGACTGGCAAATTAGACCACATCAAAAACCCTGAATCAGAAGACTTCACAATACACACTACATAAACTACGCAGTTAAATTATCAAAGATAGACATACTTCAATTTGTCTTCCGTACAAAAGCTTCCAGTTGAGGGTTAGGAATGCCGTTTGTTCTACAGAATGAAACTATAATGCTGACACCTTGCTGACTCACAAAAGCACAGACTGTGTCATCAGAAATCTTCATGCCTTGAGGAGGAGTCGTTCCCATGGCATCTAATAACCTTGTGGACGACAATCCAAATTTTGCTGTTAACTGAGCAATCTTACTGTCATAGCAGAGGACAATCTAACTCTCTACTAACTGAACTATTCCACTGTCCTAGCAGACAACAAACCAACTAGCTACAGACTGAACTATTCCACTGTCCTAGCAGACGACAATCCAGCTCTCTACCATTGACGTTATCCTGCTCAATATTACAATATTCCCAAATATAGGCCAAGACAATTACTGAGGGCATTTCACACCGACTTAAAGTAGTACTTGTACAAGAACGTTAAACTTCCTAAAGAATCTGAAGGCTAAGTGGTCGGATGTTTCAGTACAAGTCAGTCAACATTAAAGAGACTTGGCCTCTAACTTATTCATTTCAAAATCTTTCAGATAGACCTTTTCCAAAATCATTCGAAATGTCATTTATCAGTTTAGGATAAGTGTGGGTCATAAATTCCATCAAATCACCTTTTCAGTCAGATAATTTCATATGCATAAAGTCATGTATTTAAAAGTTAAGTGCCTATTCCAATAAAGCTGTCCTGATGAGGATTGTGTATCTGAAACATGTCAGCAGCATAAGATGAGATGACATAACGTTACTTTGTGTTCCCCCATATCAATTTAATTATCAGATTATGGAAAATATACCTTGATTTGAAAATTAAAAATTCACAGGCAACATCCCTTTAAATTTAAATGATATATTAGGAAATCAAAAATAAGAAAATATTAGTTTAAAGGTTTCTTACCGATCAAGACAGTAGACAATCATGTGGCTAGCACGATTGTGCATGCTGCTCTTACTGTGTTTGGGATCTTGTGATTTAGCAGAGCAGGATGGAATTGTCCATTTATTCAGAGAGCTCAAGCAGAATATTACAGATGCTCAGGAAATCATGAAGAATGCCCAGAATGCATTGGATGATTTGATATCGAACACCGGGCCAGTATTGGAAGTCAAAATAATGGAAGCACAGTCCAATGTCTCTCAACCAATCAAAAAGGGTAAAGTTATTCCTGAAGGAATGAGCGACATTTATAAATTATTACGTGAATTAGATGCATTGAAAAGAATGAAAAGCTGGACAATGGAGTCTACCACAGATCAAAGGGACATAATTTCCATCAAAGTACCATTGGATACAGAAATCAAAACAATCGATTTTGAAAATGGACTTGTGAAACTTGTGAAAGACACTCCAAGGGATTTATTAGTCTGTAGCTATTCGTGTAATATCACAGAGAGATTTCCATTGGCTACGTTTGCTCTCAATCTACGCCATAATGGGACAGGGAAACTCAAACTATTTCCCAACACATGTGGAAAGGGCGTCTGCTTTTTTTCAACTTTTGATGAAGACAACAACAACCATTTCATTGTCACCCAGAAGTTATCATTGATCAGCGACCCCATTTTCATAATAGATATTGCTTTCGAGATATCCATCAACCAAGCTGATACGATCATTGTCAGACTAGAAATAAGTGACTACATGGATCCAAAAATGCTTGATGATAAAGTCTACACCAAGAAAATTCCCCAGTTCAGACTGGCTTACGACCAATCACCAAGGATAGTATATGAAGAAGAGAAAGAAACGGATATTCAAATTATTTCAAATTTGACGACCGTCCACCCATGGTTGAAAGATACACATCTACTTCAATTCTTGATAGCAAATCAAACCAAGCTATTTCTTCTCCATCCAAACATAGGCCTTTTCAACAACAAAAATGTCCTGACGAACATGATCGTTGATCTGAAAAACTTGTCTGTTGTGGACGGCCAAATCTACAGCAAGCTTACTCTCAAGAACATTGATGTGGAAAAATGGACGATCGAAATTCAACGACATTTTCTGGTCTATCCTAGCAGTAAACCTGGACCGAAGATTCTTGAGGAAAAATTGATCAAGTCTGGTTCAAACATGAATATCACAGTGGAGGCTCATACGTCAATTTGTTTTCAATTCACGATCTATGGATACACGGAAGGAAAAGTGACCTGGAAGAGGGTACTTGGTCTTCAGCACTTTCCCCATGATCCAGAATTTCATCTGACCCTTGTAAAATCTACAAACAAAACCGAGGTCATCATCACAAACTATGACGTGAAACCAGCTCACTCTGGAGTCTACCAACTCTCGGTTGATGTTCCTGACTTTCAGCCAATGACAGCCCAGGTACGAGTCTTCGAAAAACGACTACGAATTGAATCCTTCAAGCTTAATGAAATAAATGATCCAATGGAAGTCATTGGAGTTGAATTAATGTGTCATGTGACTGGCGAGCCGAGACCCAAGATTGAATTTTATGAACAGTATGTCACGGATGAGAACTACATCATCGAAGAAGAATATCCAAAACTAGAGAGTGGAGATATATTTGAATTTGGGCAATCAACTTATGAAAATGGTGTAACTAGTAGAAAATTGATGATACATCAATTTCCGACCAATGAAAGCCATGTATTCACTACGGTCTGCCGAGCTACCAATCAATTCCAGAGCGTGTACTTGACTCGCCACGTTTATAATTGGGATTTTCAAGGACCTTGAGAGCTTCTATCTATGTCACCTGAATCTTACAGACTTTACCCCATCCAGAAAAAGCTTGGTTTGAAAAGTGTTAAGGGAATGTTACTTTAAGACTAACTATTCTATAATATTAACAATTCAATATTCCAATCCACATTAAAATAATCAATTTTACCTTGAAAACTTGACTCTCAATTTAATTAAAGTGTAACAGCTGATGTTTGAAAATATAAATCCATTACATTCTTTCCAAACACCTGATGGTACTTCTCTTCGGAGGAGTCCACTATTATCAGTTTTACTGTATCAATATTAGACAGGACATGTCCTTGTGTATTGGACCTAATACTGACTGATGTAAAATAAAGAGTTTATTATTATAATTCTCGATAGTTTGAAAAAGATTTGGAATTTGTATCCCCTACATTGAACGGGGTCCTGAATTTTACTCACCCACAAGATCTCTCTGAGGTCCGACATCCATCGAATTCCAGTTAAATGAAACATTTGATGGCCAGTTTGTAAAACCTTCATGATGTTTACTGGTCAACACCACGTATCTGTTGATAGAAATAAAACAACATGAAATTTTACATTGCCTTGTTTATACCATAAATTAGAAATTAACAGAACTTGAGATATGTTGTTACTCAGAGTTTCATGCTATGCGATCTTCAGACAACTGACCTATTTTCAGCTTGCGTCCTGACAGAAGTTAGACAAGTAAAACTTATTATTATGTCTACATTATTTTCCAGACAAGACTTAGTTTGGAACGTTTGTTTAGATGTGCGTTAATGATGGAAAACGTTTCAGTTATACACCGGTTACATCGTTTGGTTTTGTTTGTGTAGCCACATTACGCAGTTATATTATATCTTTATGGAGCTAAAATTTTACATCACACTGTTGTATATCTTATTGGGAAATGAATGGAAATGAAATTGTACATCCTGCTAGTTTAGTATTGGTCTAATAAATTGAAAAGGTATTTTGTTTTTATTATTAGTTAACAAAATTAAACAAGTGATTTTTAAGATTGCTCAAGGGGTTGGACAGTGGTTTTCTAGCTTTTTTTTAGAAGTGTATCATGCCTATTTATGGCATAATTCAATTTTCCATGTCTCTAACAATATTATAACACCTTTTTACAACCCATTTAAGATCAACATCTTTTTACTTTGTTAAGTTGAATCTTAACTCCTCCAAGGTTGAATTGGCCCCTTTTCAACAGTAGGCTCTATAGAAACCCAACACTATTTTTACCTCTATATGAAATAGGCCAATGAACAAAGAAGTTAAATGTAATTTAATAATTCACTCTAAAGTTTTGTTGAAAGACCTTATTCACGCGTCGGCCATATTGAATCTAGAATGAGTCTCATAATGCAAACTTTGAAAAGGTAACGTTATGTTACTGCGTAAAATCACCACCTTGACATCTTTTAAGTTTCTTTCTGCCAATTCAACTAACTCAAAACTAATCATATTCTGAGAAAGGGAAGTTCTAAGTCCATTTTGATGCTGTTGAGCAAATGTTTTAAGTAGCTATTCATTCATATTATGTTTCTATCTTAACAATGAATGACATAATTTATGTTATGAACCATTCAGTGTCTCAGAATTATAACAGAATACTCTGAACACAAAGCGTTGAATAAAGTCTATTCAGGAACAACTTGGTTTAGCATGCTATCTTCCTTAGTATATAAGCTTATAGTCTATTAATCTATTGTCAGAGAAAGTTTGTTGGTTTTCAAGATTATCGGTAATAACTTGAAGCTTTTACTCAAATTAAAATAAAATGGACAAATGACCTTTCTCAGACAATAATCTATATCTACTTACCTTGCCCCCGAATCATTGAAAAGTTTAGCCCACTGGGCCGGCTGGTAAAATTCAGCTGTAAAATCTTTAGCGAAATCTGCATAAGTGAAGCCTGGTTTATAATTCTCCTTCATAAAGTCGATATAGCCTTGATATTTGAATACTTTCCAGTCGTACCAAAACCATGCAGACCCGAAACTCGGAACTGAAAACACTCCCCAATGAAGGAAAATGCCCAATTTTGCTTCGTCATACCATGAAGGTAAGGGCCTAGAGTCTAACGATTCCCATGTTGGTTGATATTGAGAGTGACAAACGACAAGAACGCTGGAAAATACAAATAATTTCAACAAAAATAATTTGTTACTTCTTTCCTTGTGCGCCATTTTAAGTTGTCACATGATTGAACAAGTTGACTCATACGGTGTGTTCGATTCATACTTCAGAACCACAGGTGTATTCGATTTTTTTACCCTCAGGAAATAGGCTAAAAAAGAAACAAGGAGCATTCAAAATTGCATGTAGACATCACATAATCGAAGAAAAATGTAGCGAAAGCATCCATTTGTCATGACAAAGGCTCGCATAGTACTATTCCTTCTAAAGTCGCATCACAATCTAGATTTGAGAATTCGTCTGCTATTTAGTTGCTTTACTTTGATATGCTGTTTGATATTCGAGACTATTGAACAAGAAATCTTTTTTTTATTGGACAATCAAGTCTACGACCTCTTGTAATTTACGGTCTAAGGGGAGCAACTCTATTGAATGATGTCAACGTTTTTTTTAATGGGGGACAGACTGGAAAAAAATGAAATGAATGGAGTTTTACGTCCTACTTTGCTGCACCATGTGGGCTAATGAAGACGGGCAACGCAATGCAGGGTGCCATGAGGGAAATTTTGCCACAACATTAGCCTGCTCTTTTTCGATTTCCAACTGTCGAGGGTTCTTTTATCGTGCCCAGGAGTCTGTAGCACACGGGGCCTCGGTTTATTGTCCCATCCGAACGACTAGACGCTTTTTCCATGTCAGCCCCTCTTACCTGCATCACTGACAGGAGGAAGCCGGGTTGAAAGTGGATAGACTGGAGAAAACAACTCAACATCCCTGATTAATAATTAATCTTCAAGTTTATGAAATCTTGAGAATTTCCAGGGCCTTTGATTAAATTACACTTGCCAGTCATTATATCCATCAAATCCAATTTATTTTTAATCATGTACCTTGTAATTATTTGAATAAATATTATTCTTTTATTAGATAAATTTTGCTTTTTGTTTTTGATTTATTGCCCATGGGCTTAGTTTTCTAAAATTCTGGAACCTAATGGACAGTTTGAAAATAAAACAGAACTGGACAAGATTAACAATTAAAACCTGTTCATTATATCACTTATTCAGACCTCCAAATACACTGTCATACTGAACATCTCTTCCTATAACAATAATGACACACTTCAACATATTCTGTAAAGAATCAACACAAAAATTGACAAAGAATAGATTTTATTTCTATTTTATTGACTAAAGTTGTACTTCCAACGTTATGAAGCTGTAACAGCATATCATAGCATGCCTTTGGGTATCTTGAATCAGGTAAATATATTATTTTTAACCAATATTGGATGACATCACAGAAAAAATAAATGTGTAAAGGGAATCGGCCAGGTTCGCCATAAACTTACGTGTAGTATTGCCTTGAGAAATCTGAGTTGACATTTTTCTATTGCATCCTTACGTCCGTATCCCCACACTGCTGCCCCATAACATAATATAGGCACAATCATCCTGTCATATAAAAATAAGGCATCTTTGATACTAACGTTATACCTATTTACAAAAGAAATAACCATTCCCGAAGCTTTCCTTGCCTGTTGGGATAATGAATCGACAGCCTGGGTCCAACATAATGTTGGTGTGAAAAATACCCCTAAATATTTATAATGATTTACAGTTTCAATCTCCGTACCATCTAAATACCAATGCTCATTTGCCTTAAGTATACCACCACGTCTAAATACAACAACCTTAGTTTTCTTGAGATTAATTTTCATTCCATACGTCTTGCAAAAACTATTTATGCAATTTATTTGAGCCTGTAACCTCCCAACTGTGTCAGCTACTGAAGCTATATCATCGGCATATAACAAAGATACAATATTGTCTATTTGGTTATTGACAAAAATACCTTGACACTGGTATGCATTTAAAGATTCGATTAATAGCAATGGACTAAGGATACATCCTTGTTTCGTTCCTATCGTGCATGCAAAATAATCGGAGACTTGTGACCTATTTGTCTGTATATAAGATTGTAACTGGCTATACATAGATTTTATACACATTTCCAGCTATGCTATTTTTTAGCAAAACATATTGCAAAAGGTGGTGCTGTATGCCATCAAAAGCTGTACTAAAATCGACAAATATACAATAGAAGCGACCTTTCGATTTAGTCAGATACTTTTGTATTAAAGAATGTAATGTGAAAACTTGATCAATAGTGCTGTATCCTTTTCTGTAGCCACTTTGTGCCTCTTTGTATTTATTGTTTATATTACACCATTTTGTTAGTCTGGAATTTAAAATTCTTGTGAACACTTTGCTTATAACTGATGCCAGGGATATACCACGATAATTTTTCGGTTCTTGTGATGAGCCTGCCTTATGAATTGGACACATTACTGCCTTGCTCCAGCTTGAAGGGAAATGACCTCTTGACAGTATTGTATTGAAAAGAACCAGTAGGTAGGGTAAAATTAGGTGCACAGCACATTTTATCATTTCATTAACGATACCATCCGGACCAGGGGATTTCGAGTTAGGAAGTTGTGTGATGGTACAGATAATCTCATTTGCTGTTATTTCTGCATATAAATGTTCATCAAAAACAGGAACATGTTGCTCAACTGCCCCAAAGGCTGCCCCCAAAGGCCTTGGCCACATCCCTATTGATCAATTCTCAAAATATTTGGAACACTTTTCCCGTCACAAGCTATAATCCTGTTTGATTTTTGTTCTTATGTGAAAGCTCTGTTCGTATAAATCAGTTTATCGTAGGTTAAAGATACCCTTTCGTCCAGACGACTTTCTTTAATTTTCATTCAGTACACTCTCAATTTCTTCCTGATGTTCCTTACTCTTTCACTAAAGTCCTCCGTCACATAGACCTCATTCTTGTCACGATTAAAAGAATTCACTGCACCGGAATTATGATTTCTTAGGGATCTGTAGGCATGCAGAATTACTAATGTTTGTTTTGGTCTGTTGCATGTAATCAGAATCGGACGACATTTACCGGTACGTCTTGCTCCTAGTCTGAAGGCTTTGTCAATGGGAAATGTTTCACCTTATTTGCGTTCACAATATCAAGTTTATCAACTAAATAATTTCTCACAATTTGTTCAGAATCTTCATGTCGTTCATTATCCATTTCTTCAAGACCAAAGACTATCAAATTCACCCGTCTATCATTCTCCTCGAGTCGTTCTATCTTCGACTTCATCATAATGTTTTCTTTCTCCAAGTCGTCACACCTTTCGTTTAACTCATTGATGCAGGCAGCACAACTGACCTCGTATTTCACTGAGCTCGTCTCGACACTTTTCAAACTTATCATTCATGTCACTTAAAGTTTGTGTAATATTTTGTAGAGATTTTCCAATATCTATATCTTGTGGAGATTTGTCATTGCCTCTTGTTGCCCTCGTCGTCGTAACAACGTATGGAGAAAGTCCACCATTTGTAGGTCCTGGATTTTGCTCAATGTCTCCGGCAACTATCAAGATTAAAAATAAACATACCACGATTCTAAAGGGATCCGACAAATTCAAAGATATATCCATATTAGTATCCAAATCTTTAAAACTTCAATAAATCGACAGAGTTCGATATCACGGATGACTGATTTCTTCCCACTTTGCTCACACGTCCTTTCACTTGCCTCTTAAAATGTTACATCTTTCAGTGTCGATGTAGAATCTTTTTGAGAGGGCAGAGGAAATGAATGTATGGAGTTTTACATCCAATTTTTCAGCATCATGTGGGCTAATTAAGGCGGGCAACGACATGCAGGGTGCAATAAGGGAAATTTTATCAGGACATCGGCATTGGCCTGATCTTTTTCGATTTCCAACTGTTGAGACATCTATAACATGCACAGCCTGTAGCACACGGGGAGAGAGATGAGGGGGTTGAAAAAGTAAAAACGCTGTCGTTTGCTTATAAATCAATTTATGTACACAGTATTTTGACAAGATATTCCAGATACCTTACAGAGCACAATAAGATAATTTTTAATCCCCATTTTGAGCTGAAAAAAATAATTTATTTCTGCAATATTTGATTTTGTAATAATATTATTTTCTTTTCCTCTTTTTGTATGACTAATTTTTGGTCAGAATATATCTGACCAAATATCTGAAATTGTATATATTCTGATTTGCGGAAAGATGAAGTTATTAACACAATGTACAAGTTTAAAATTTAAAAAACGAACAAAAGTTTAAAGACTTTGATTTGATAAAGACTATAAAATATAGAAATAATAAAAACAGCACTATCGTTGTTCAAATACAATAAAACAAAACAAATATATTCCTACAAACTTTAATAAAATTCAATTTAGAAATTTAGGACCTTAAACTCCATTCATTTCTGTTAATTTATTCAGTAAATAGAATTTAAAATTCTTGCATAATTCTCTAAAAGCTAAGATGTTAAAATCAAATGCTGAAAATGAAAAATGAGCAAAAAAATTGAAGATCAATGGACGACAAGAAACTAATAAATCGAAGCTAAACAAATAGATTGATAAACATGATATTAAAGAAGCAAGAACTAAGAGAAGTACGAATGAAAAAGCCTAAAAATGATTTAAAAGCAACAAATCAGCACAGTTGAAGAAAGGAAAATGATAATTTTCTATGAAAATAATTCAGTATATACAGATCTCATAAAATCTAGAAAAAAATTTAAGACTTCTATTTATATTAAATTCGTTTGTTCATTGGCATGAAAAAAAATTGTGACTCATATTTGTGACCATTTAGTTCTTATGGTGTTGATTTTATATCAAAAACACATCTCCACATTGAGCTCATGTCAAATAGATAAGTATTTAATTGAGATTCTTAGATTGTGTCAATCAATGTTATGTAAGGGAGAGTAGCCGAAAACTATACATTCTGTGGGAGAATAGATCAATCGAGGCGCGTGTTAAGGACTGAGGTAAGCCACTCTTCTGGATATTGGATTAAAAATACAATGGATTACGTCATAGCTATAATCTAAATAATGATAAAATCACAATGTTTCTTTGTTGACCTTTAAGGTTATCGTTAGATGGTTTGCACATCCATTAATCATAGTTATAGCTGCCTTTTGGATAGTGTACTAAATAACTAGTGCTATTTGTACATTGTGATACCATGGTTGCATGAAAAAAGTGTCAACTAAAGTTGAAATTATTCTTTTCATCGGCTTAAAGCTAAGAGCTCCCTGTAAACTTTTTTAATTTGTCATTGCATCAGCACTAAAAACTTTGTTAACAAAAGTATAAGATTCAAATAAAAAACACTTATGCAAAGCTTAATGCTTAAAATTTGCTGCATCTCTTTTATAAGTCTATAAATAAATCATCTATAATTCTGGCTGCATTTGAATACTTTGATGGTTGCATAGATTAAAAATTTGCTGCTTCTTTTTGGTAGTTGCATAAATCACAGATTTAAATCCATGAGGTTTTTTTGAAAGTTGCAAATTTACATCCGCTCTTAGACAAAATTTTGAAGTTTTTGTTAGGCGAAAATACGTTACTGTAGCTAATGTAGAGTTATTCTCACACGTAAAATAAAACATATTCAGATTTTATTCCTCAGTGGTTTAAATTGTTTGCTGAAGCCATCATGTCTCTAACATAACAATCTAAATTTGGTTTCGCTGATGCTGACCAGGTTTAAACTCCTTAAAAACACTAACTGTAGCTAAGTACTCCTTTAAAACGCTAAAACTCTAGCATTAAAATTTCGTCTCCTCCTTTTCCGTTAATGAAGGTCTTCTAGGCACTAAACTAACACGTTTCGGAATGGGAGGGGGAGCCACTGAAGTGTCTTCTGCTTGCTTGGGTTCCGTCGTTTGTTTGGGAAAGGGAGGTATTGACGGTGTGTGGGAAGTTAGTGGTGACGTGATTGACGTATTGCTACGGGTTACAGTTCGGGGTGGTAACGGGGGCTGCTCCCCAGCACTATTTTCACCTCCGCTACTGTTCACTTCCTTTAATGGCGCTAACATCGCCGCGTCTTTGTGAGGTTGACCACTTGGTATTGAAGTTGATCTCTGAAAAAATAGAATGAATTATCATAATAATTTTCGGGGGTAATCAATGTAATTGTCTTTGTCTTCTTATACCTTGACCTCAAAAGTGACCTTTCTTGTGTCATGAAAGTTTGTAAACGCAGTGATTTGAATGGATTGTACGTTAGCAAATACAGCTGATCAGAGTCCTCGACATTATTATATCAATAAGATATGACGTTTAAGTCTTTCTGACGGGGGCTCTGATTGGCTGTATCTCTAGCGTACAATTCCAAACCTAATATCCCCCAACATTTGCCCATAATTTTCTCTGACATTACATACTCACCCTTTGTCTGTAAACAGGAATCGGTGGTCTATCGCTGTCGTTAGTATTTACTGATAGACAATGCTGTATATTATGCGGTTTATCTGAAAATAAACAAATATCACTCGTTATTCTTGCAGGAGAGGCAAGGGAAGGCAGCCAGATTTGATATTCTAATTGGTGTAGAGAATAAATTTAATTTTAATTTTGTTGTCAGTTCCATAAGTAATATCAAATATCATCCATCAAAACTACGTCTAGAGATGCTGATAGAGCTAATAAAAGAAATAGAGTACTAATTTGTTTCAGATTGAGCAAATAGTAGTGGTAGATGACAAGTTAACATCTGATATCACACACTACGTATTTTAGCAAATAAAATAACATGGAATTTTGTATCTTACAATCATACACCTTGCTTTAGGAGGATAAGCAAAGCCATGCCATATGCAATGAAGGAAATTTTACCAGGACAGCAACAACAGCCTGTTATTTCTACAACACCAATTATAACCTTTGACCTTACCTGGGGCTGGCCTGGGAGGGGGTGGGGGAGCTCGGAATAATAAACTTGAATCTACAATAATTATAGCATGGATTAGCATAGCAGTTATTAGTCCGTTACCATAGTTATACATTTAGATCCATATTCCACATGTATATATTCTACTTTGTCAACTAAGACAAATAAATTTTCATTTTTTTGATTAATTAAACCTTTAATTGATTTTTTAATATAATTTATCCCACGTTTCAGATACACAAACCCTCATCAGGGCAGCTAGTTGAAATATTTTGTGAAATATGGATCCATGAAAGCAGAAAGCGTAAAATTTTTCAAAACGTATTTTCCATCACCACATTTTACAAATTTACACCGTAACCATAGTTATTTTTACAAATTTACTCCGTAACCATAGTTATTTTTACAAATTTACTCCGTAACCATAGTTATTTTTACAAATTTACTCGTAACCATAGTTATTTTTACAAATTTACTCCGTAACCATAGTTATTTTTACAAATTTACTCCGTAACCATAGTTATTTTTACAAATTTACTCCGTAACCATAGTTATTTTACAAATTTACTCCGTAAGCATAGTTATTTTACAAATTTACTCTGTAACCATAGTTATTTTACAAATTTACTCCGTAACCATAGTTATTTTTTCAAAATTATAACTGTAACCATAGATTTTTTTCCAAATTTACGCCATAACCATATTTAATTTTACAAATTTACTCCGTAACCATATTTAATTTTACAAATTTAACTCCATAACCATATTTAATTTTACAAATTTACTCCGTAACCATATTTAATTTTACAAATTTACTCGTAACCATAGTTAATTTTACAAATTTACATCGTAACCATAGTTATTTTTTTAAAAATTATAACCGTAACCATAGTTATTTTTTTAATAATTATAACTGTAACCATAGATTTTTTTCCAAATTTACGCCACAACCATAGTTATTTTTACAAATTTACGCCATAACAATAGTTATTTTTACAAATTTACACCAAAAAACAAAAAAAAATGGCATGCAGGAATAATGATATGATCAAGAGAAGCAAAGATATTCATATGCATATCAAAGTATGATTCAAAACATAAACACGGCCAGTCCATTTTATTATTAGATGGTGTAAATCATAATGAACACAGAACAAGGGTCCGTTAAACCCCAAAAAAATCTTACGATCAATTTCTTTGTAAATATTGTATTTCTCGATGTAAATTTTCACACTTACGACAAATTCTTATCATAAGATTTTTTTATGAAACTGGGCCTTGCTTGAACAGTTTACTACTTATTCTACCTAAAGATGAAATGGACTGGTCTTATTTAT